AAAAGGAATAATCAAACAGTTTATTACTTGTATACAAATAAGTTACATTAGGATTATTTGTTTTCCTAGACCCCTGAAAACCTTGAAGTACCAACCTTAGAAATTGCAGTAAAAACTGGAATTTGGAAAGGTGTGTGGAGGATTTTGAATAATGACCAGATTTAACAAAATACATAGAATAGGTAGGAATAGATCACAATGTTCAATCATTAATTGGAAAAAGAGACTAGGAAATTTTGCTATGTCTGAATTCCAGGGTCAGGAATTAGGTTAATTTTGTAAATAAAGAAGGATTGCGATAGCCAGAGAAACCAAGTGAGAGGTATGAATACATACAAAAATAAAGGATATTTCTATAATAAGGGAAAGTGATACCTTAACCAAAAAAGTTCACAAGAAAGTAGTCATCCTAAAGAATTTCTGTAGTAGCAATTCCATTTGAAATGTACAAAATAGATACTACTTATACAGAGCTGACCTGAAAAAAAGTTTCCTCATTTGAATCTGTAAGACCTAATTATGACTAACATGAGGAAAAACAAAATATGGACTAAAAAGAGTGTTTAGAGAAAAGTAGATAAACTAAGCTTACTTACTGGTTCAAATCCACATCAGGAATAATTGAGGAGATGGTACTACACAGATTTAGGAAATTAATACTGTCATGTAGTTACAGGACCCTTTTAAAATACCGTCTTTATTATTAAACAATTGTAATTGCATTATAGAAGCTTCAACTAACAAAGGGTCCAATCTTCATTTCTTTATCAAGTATTAACATCTTCAGACTAGCACTTCTTACTGATATAAGAGATCCTCAAAACTCTGAGGTGAGTTTGTTACTCTTTCCTTTTTTTTTTCCCCACTAAAGAGAGAAGCAGAGAAAGTCTTTTTGCAGGATTATATAAATATTTGCCAAAATTAAGAACAAATCTAGGAGGGGTATACATCAAAAGTTCTTTTTATTATAACCACTTATTCTACCCAAGTAAAAAAAAATGCTATAACCACTGATTTATTCAAGCAAAGGAAGAAAAAAGAAAATAGAGGATTTTTGCATTGCCTCAGTAAAATGAAATAGAATGGCCAGTGAGTCAACATGAAAATTCCTAACGTCAGTTTAGGAAAGCATGAAAAGTGGCATTTTATTATACTTTATATATTGTTTATATCTTAACAAGTAATTTACTAGGTCTAATTTCATCTGAAGATAACTTTTTGACCATCCTTTCCTATAGGCTAGAGGTACATCCATGTTATAAATTCCTTATTTATAAACTCACCTTTGTTTTCTACAGAAATGGGGCATCTAAAAGACTATCAGTGAAATAATTTTTTTATTTGAAATTACACAATACTGCCAGATAAAGCTTCCAAGATAATTCTTTGATCATAAAAAGTCAGTGCCTTCCTGACTGAATAAAGTTTAAACTCCTTGTTCTGGCACTGAAGGCCCCTGCAATCTACCTATCTCATCAAACTCCTTATTTGCTAAATTTGACAAAGTTGCTGTTAATCTTTTCAGCTCTTTTAACATGACATCTTGTCTATGTAATAATAACAGCTGGGAGTAATTTTTTTTTTTTT